TCTCTCTCTCTCTCTCTCTCCCTCGCCGGTCCCCATCCACAAGCTCATTAAGTCGAGCATCCACAGAGAGAGGTTACGTCAGCCGAGCCCACACCACACTGCTCCTCTCCCATTCTGTGCCATCCCGACCCCATCCTCCTCGGTCGATATGGCCGCGCGCCGCGCGCCGCCGCCGCCGCGGGGACCGGGGACCTTACAACGGGACGGGACTGCAGGAAATGCAGACTTCAACGGCTCCATATAATTTCCTGATCTCGCGACGACGTGAGCTGGTCCGGCCGGCCGGTCTGTCACGTGACGGCGGGACGTGCGCGGCCCGTCATGACCCGTACGGTCTCTGTACGTGCTACGTGCCCCATTAGGCTTTTGCTCCCCGGAGAAAGTCAATCCCCACTCCTTGCCCGCGAACCCCTCTGCTGCATCGCGTGTCCGCTGCACTTTGAAGCTCCTCTTTCCTCCCTTTTGGTCTTTTTCGGTTAAGTTCCCTCTCTCTAGTTCTCTCCGCCTGAATCACATCCTACATCCCGTCCCCCGCCGCCGCCGCGCCGCCGTGGATCGCGGCCCAGTCGGACAGTTGGCACGCCCCGCCGCGTGTTACATCAAACCGAACCACGCAACGCGCAGGGGAGTGATAACCCTCGCCACGCAAACACATGTCCGCGGGCCACGGGTAGCTCGCCTGGAAACAAAACTCTGATCCCTCCCGCCTCCGGGCTTGCCGCATTTTATTGGCCCGTACGGTACGCGTCTTATAGGACAGGTGGGGGGGGGGAGGGGGGCTAGGAAGCGTCCAGCTGATTACCGTCTCGTTTCTTAATCCCCGCGCAGGACGGCCGCGAGCCCCTCCCCTCCCCACGCCACTATACGCCGCCCTACCGCCCTCCTCCCCGACAGTAAAGGCTCATCGTGATAATTTCCGGTCTGGTCCAGAGGAGGCGTGGCGTGGCGTGGCGTCGGCTTAATATCGCAGCGAGTCGCAAACGACGTCAGGCGAAGTCGTAAGGAAAGCTCATAATTGGGTACCCGGGCGGGGCGTGCCAATATCCTCCCCCCTCTCTCTACCCAACCCGCCGAACGCAACGCCACACACAACACCAAGAAGAGTGCCTTGCGTCTATATGAAATTGGCCACTTGTGGTCGCCGGAAGAGACTCGCGCGCGGGGGTCGGCGTGTGCGGGGTGAGCGCGCATCTCCTGACCTGCAACGTCCACTTTTGGACGACTGCTTCCGGTCTTCTTCATCCTCTGACGAGTTTCAAAACGGGTCGGGCTGCCCTACGACCCGTGAACAAATGGCGCCTGCAAAATGCTTGCATGCCGACCTGGTGTCTGTTGACACCCCAGGTACGCCCCCCCCCCCAAAAAAAAAAAAAAACAGGTGCTTGAAATCAAATGCATTCTCTTGAAACAAAGTGCAATCGCTCGAGTAAACTGAGTGCTTGCTTGCACCTCTTTAAATAAAGTGCACTAGATTTCAAGTGCCCCCCTTTTTTTTTGGTGTAGTGCTACCGCTGGCCGACCTGTTACCTTTATCACCACCATCACAATATCATCCGTATCGAAACATTTCGAGCAAGCGGTGTCTGATGGCCGTCGGCTCATTGCCGTCGTCAATATCGGTCGACGTCGATCTGAATCACGGGCGAGAAACTGGGCCGGGAACGGGGAGGAGGAGGAGGAGTGGGGTGTGGGAGACGGTGGTTCTCACCGCGACGCAGTTTGATGGTGACTTACAAATCGGCACGTGTTGGGTACTTTGTGTGCAGCGCGCGCGGTCTAATGAGAGGCGGGCTGGCACGCGGCACAGGAAGGAAATGATCTGCACACACTGCTCGGTCCACTTTCGCCGGCGGTGTCACTGCACCGGACCCGCGCGACGCAACTGCAACTCGTCCCTCGGATAGGTGTAGCAGGGCCTTACCCCCGAGACATTTCTATTTCTCACAAAGCGGCGCGCGAGAGAGTTAGTTGATGCTCGTGTTGAACCTTGAACCCTCCAAGTCTCCACCACACACCACACCAGCGACCAGCGCAACGGCGGCGGCGGTCTCCGGTTTACCTTCTTCTTCTTCTTCCCGGTCGCTCACGTTGCCCTTTTGCCCGCAGGTGTGCGCGGTGCTGCTGGCGCTGCAGGGCGCGGCGCTTGCCCAGCAGAGCCACCCGCAGCTGCAAGCGTACCTCGCCCAGCAGCAGCAGCTGCAGGCGCAGCAGCAGCAGCCGGCCAGGCAGCAGTACCGGCTCATCCAGGCGGCCGCGGCGCAGGCGCCACAGGTGAGTGTCGTCCGCACCGCCCCCTAGAGCTCGTTCCCGCCCTGCATCGCCGTCCTTAAAAGGCCTCCGCGGAGCTCAGCAGCAGCAGCCGCAGCAGCAGCCCCCCCAGGAATGCCTGCGTGCGGTGCGTCCTTTCGCGGCGGGAGGGAGTCCTTAACCTTTCCGTCCAGGCGGGGCGCTCCGTGCGGGCTACCGGCGGGTAATGATATCATCATCTTTTTACTGCGCGAGGCCGACGGCCATTGTGTGTGTGCGCCCTCCTCCGGGCAAACAACAACAACAACAACAACGGCGTGCTCCACCGCGGACAGCAAGACAACGGCGGCGCGGGCAACAACACCGCGAGGGACCAGCTTATTAACACCCAGTGTGGCGTTGTTGCAGAGGTACGTCCAGCAGCAGCAGTACGCCGAGGAGGACGCCGGCCCCCAGTACCAGCAGGTGGCCGCCGTGCCGCGCGCGCAGCCCCAGTACCAGCAGCAGCAGCAGCCCCTCTACCGCACGGCGCCCATCGCCCAGTCCCAGCTCCGGCTCAGGCCCGGCGCCGCTGGCCCCGCCCAGGAGCAGGAGCTCCAGAACCCCGAGGACTACGACGTGAGTACTGACTGCCTTCCAGGGCCTCTCTGAAAACAAACAAAATTAAACTCTTTTAAAATTTCGGTGAAATTGAAGATGAAATAGAAAACAGTGGTGGTGGTGTTTGTTGTATTATAAAGCCCTAGCACTGGCTTGTTCGTCGATCATCGATTCAGTTTTTTAGTAGTTCCCCCCGGGCGACGTCGGGCGCCTGGTGAGCAGGCAGTCCCGTTACGCACAGCTGTAGGGCGCGGTTGCCTACCCCGTGATCCGCAGGCGCCAAAAGTCCTGAGGTCGCCGGAATAGTATGGAAATACTATTTTAGAGTCCTAGTAACGCATAACGCTCGGCTTTACTTGTGAATAAGCATTTCGCATGTGCGTCATAATACTGCATTTCTTGTCCCCGCGCGCGGCGGCGAACGCCTGGCGGGCGGGCAGTCCCGTTACGCACCACTGTACTGCGCGCTTGCCTAGCCCTCGCTCCGCAGGCGCCCGAGGCCAATGAGAAGTTGCCAATACTTTCAGCAATAATATTTCGCGTCCACTCCGCTCACCAAGACGGCGGCCGCGCAACAAAAAAAAAAAACAATACGGCAAACTTACTCCTGAACCTTGTACCCGATCTCCTGCCGGCGAGCCCCGCCCCCATCGCGGACATCTGGCCGTGAGAGAGGCGAGGCGCGACGCGGCCAGTAATAATTAGTCTCTGACCGACGCCGGCCGGCCGGACCGGGCAGACCATAGCGCACCATAGTTAATGGACCTGGGCCCGGGAGCGCCGCGCCGCTCTTGGGCAGCACGACGGGCAGCGAGTTTTGACCGACGGCCGAGCCGACCGAGCCGACCGGTGCGGCGCGGCCGGGGCAGGGCAGGAGTGGTTATAGCGGCAGGTGTGTTGCAACATGTCGCGTACGATCTGGTGCGCTGACCTACCCGTGCCGTGCGGGTGGATACGTGAGGGAATTCCCTCTTCTCCCCCCCTCCAACCTCCTCACTTCGCCTTCTCTCGCGTCCACCACTGTCTTCTCTGTCCCTCGCGTCGCGCTCTCCGTCGTCGTCTCGCTTATCCTCCGCGCCTTGCCGGCCACGGTGTGACGTCACGGGCGTGTCGGCCCGACCCGGCCCGGCACTGTCCTACACGCAACACGACACGGGACGCGGGGCGGCCGCCGCTGCTGCAGCTGCAGGTGTCTCGTCCTGTCGGACAGGCGCGCCGGCGGCCCGGCTCACTTTCACTTGCAGCTGTTCCGCCGGCGGCGCGGCGTGGCGTGACGTCGCCGTATACTGGTTAGGGGCATAACTAACAAGGAAAGAGAGGGACGCGCGGGAGGCGAAAATGAGGAGGAAAAAAATAAAAAGAAGACAAGGCCGCGCGCGCGGGGGGCTCATCTCGCGGCGCGCTTCCCTCTTTCCGGCACATCCATCCGCGCGGCCGGCGGGCGCCTCTCATTGGGCCGGAGTTAGGTAAGAGAGCGTCGGGCGGGACTCCGGGCAGAGTTGCAGCAGGGACTACGGGCAGGGGGCAGGGCTGCAGGGACTCCAAGCAGGGCTACAGGGACTTCGAGCATAGGGCTGCAGGGACTCCCGACAGGACTACAGGGACTCCGGGCAGGGCTACAGAGACTCCGAGCAGGACTGCAGGGACCCCGATCGGGCCGGAGCGGTGCAAGCGCCCACGGGGACGACCTATACTACCTATCGTGATTTAGCGACCGGTCGCAGCGGTAGTCGGGCAGGCCACGCTGAGATAGGATCTCCCGACCCGATGTGCGGGAGTGCAATCTCCATATCCGTGTCCCACAGCCCCTCTACTCCCCCCCCCCCTTTACCCGGCGGCGCCCGTTCCTCACCCGAGCACCACTCGTGTTGCAGCCCAACCCCCAGTACCAGTTCGGCTTCGACGTCAAGGATGACCAGTTCACCAACTACCAGAACCGCAAGGAGCAGCGCGACGGCGACAAGATCACCGGCAGCTACAGCGTCGTGGACTCGGACGGGTTCATCCGCACCGTCACCTACACCGCCGACCCGAAGGAGGGTTTCAAGGCCGAGGTGACCCGCACGCCCACCGACATCGTCGTGAAGCTGCCCACCCCGCCCGCCCCGCAGCTGCAGGACGCCTACGGCCAGCAGAGGCAGCTGGCGGCCCGTCAGCAGCAGCAGCAGTACCTCCAGGTAGGCGCCAAGTCTCTAGGGATGCCTAACCCACATTTACTTCACTTCTTGGCCTACGGTCTCAAAAGGCCTCTGGGACTCCCGGACTCTTGCTAATCCTTTCCTCTCCCTTGTCAGGCTGGACCCGAGTCCCAGCAGCAACAGCAGGCCCAGCCCCAGCAGCAGCAGTACCTCAGGCCGTCCTCTGCTTACGCCCAGCCCTCCCCCGCCCAGCTGCAGCAGCTGCAGCTGCTCGCTGCCCAGCAGCGTCAGCACGGCGGCCAGCTCCTGCGTGCCGCCCCCAGCTCCTCCGCCGCCGCCCACCAGGCTGCCGCTGCCGCCGCCGCCCAGCGCGCCGCCGCTGCCCAGGCCTACTCGGCCCAAGCTTCCGACGAGCAGGCGGCGTATGCCTCCTACCAGCAGCAGTAGGGCCTGGCAGCAGAGGCCTCTAGCCCCGGCCATCCCCGGGCAGGTCGAGTTCCTAGCGAAGCTGCGCGCCGTGCTGCGCGTCCTCGTCGTGGAGGACCTTTGGAGCCAGGCGGGTTCCATTTCGGGCCTATTTGGAGCTCGTTTGGCCCCATCGATTTGGAGTCTGTGTGGAAAACGTGGTGATTTTAATGCTTCTAATTTATTGAAGTTTGTCATGGCTACTTTGGTGAAAAACAAAATCAAACGCGATTTCCATTCTTTAAGTGCCAAAGTGTCATTCGATGACTTGTTTGTTTCAGTATTGTTTGACACAACTACGTCTAGTGTTATTTAAATAATTAAAATTCCTCCCTGATGCTGGCCGTTTTACAAAAATGATGTTGAGTGTCAAATTCTTTGTGAATTTTGAAGTCAATTAGAAGGGGAAACTCCGCTTGCTCTTATTGCCCTAGAGACGTAGAAAATAAATATACTTACATATTCCTCGGTGGAGAAGATTTGACTCAAGGATTAATCAACCAAAATATGATACACTACTTGTTCTAGATTTGTTTAGTACTGTTGTACAAATATGTGTAAAGTGATCTCCTGTAACGTTTTTAACGATTTTCTTCTTGTTATCTGTCAGTATTGTTCTTCTTCTGTTCTTTCGATAACTGGCGTATATTCTGCTTCTTTGCAAACACAACATTAGCGCGGGGTTCCCTTCGCGCTGTGATACCTTCTAGTTTTATGAAAAGTTGTGACATGTTACCTCGTCCAGAACATGTGCTCGAAATACATATATAAAGGACGGTTAAACCATGGCTCTACTGCTTTGCATCCCCTGCACTACAGACATTTATTATTCATTTATTTCTCAAAGCAAAATACTGCATTCTTTTAAATTAGAGATGTACTATACATAAAGTGGTGCATTTCAGTAAAACAATGCAGTAAAAAAAACATCATCATAAAAAAATAAAAACTCTCTCATATCTGCAGCGACTAGAGTTAATTAAGTCGCCCACCTCAGTCTTGATCATGGAGATAGTCTCTCCCCATGGTCTTGATATGGCGGTCAAGCGAAGTGGTGGCCGACGTGGTGCCTGACGCCCCACTTGTAGTGGCCGTGCTTGTCAGTCTTCACGAAGCTGTGCACCGGCCCCGTCGAGCCCATGTGGCCGTGCCGCTTGACCCTGGACTCCTCAAGGTCCTGGTCGGAGGGTCCATCGTCCTCGGCGCCGGGTCGGGCGCCGCTCCGGCGCTCCGGCGCGTAGGGGCCGTGCTGTCGGCGCACGCGCGTCACCTCGGGAGGCGAGGTGGACGAGGACGTCGTGGGGGCAGCGGTGCTCGGCAGGTGGTCCAGCATGTGCGGCTGCGGCACCACGGCCAGCTCCTTGCGCCGCATCTTCTTGGACTTGAGCCTCTTGACGGGGCGCCGCATGAGTGGCGGGGTGGTGATGGTCTCCTCGGGCGGCTCGGCGTCCACGACCCCGCCGTCGCGTAGCGCCAGCTCCTCGGCGAGCAGCGCGGCGGCCTGGCGCTGCGAGAGCTCGGCCCGGCCCGACCAGGACAGCGGCTGCCGGCGCTGGCGCAGCAGGCGCCGCTGCTCGGCCACGGCCTCCTCCTCTTCCTCCGCGGCCAGCACCTCCTCCTGGCGCCGCTTCCACGCCGCCGCGGCGCGCTCCCAGGTGTGCAGCGGCAGGTCCGTCGGCCCCGGGGTCACGCCGTGCAGCGGCACGATGCCTGCGGGTGAGCCAATCACTGTTAAACCAGGTGCGTGCGTAGGCGGAGTCTGCAACTACTTGGTCATCTACTGTGTGTGATTGAATTAACTACGTGCCCAGTGCACCCGCTTCTCGTGGAACTTACCTTTTCTTTCCTCGCAAATCCTTTTCTCACCATACCCCCGCTGGCGACTTCAATTTCTCCCCGTCTTCCGCATGCCATGATCGTTGTGGGTCCTGGAAGGTATCCTGGGGCCCCCTCCCCCACATTCACCCCACACTGTGCCGCACGCTCCACTGCACGGTGCCGTCCGGAGACGTCTTCACGTACGTCTGAACGTCGCCGCCGTCGTCCTCGAAGGCGGAGGCCGGCCACTCAGGGACGCCGTAGGAGGTCGCGGGAGGTAGCTGGGGACGTGGTCGATGCGGTCGGAAGAGATGGAGCTCGGAAGGAGGGTGCGGATGGTGGTGGTGAGGCTGGGACGGAGGGTGCGGATGGTGGTGGTGGTGCAGGGGGGGATGATGATGATGGTGATGGGAGGGAGAGGGGGGATGGTGATGATGGTGGTGAGGACCCGGGTGATGATGATGATGGTGGTGATGCGGCTGTAGTCCGATGTGCACGTGTTCGTCATTGTTCCCGTTCTGGACGTGGTGGACGTGGAATTTGACGATCGGAGGGTGAAAGTGGTTTTTCGATGGTGGATGGGGATGCGGATGTTGCTGGTGGTGTTGCGGGTGGTGCTGCGGCAAGTCGTAACTGAAGGCCGGCTCTTCTTCTACATTGCCGAGGTGGTTGCCGTTCACATCGTTCAGCACCGTTTCTCCGTTGAGCTGTGTGGTTTCCTCGTCGTGGTCCTGGGGTTGGTATGGTTCCTGGGGGTCCTCGTTGACGGCAATCGTGTGTTCCGGTCGCTCCGTGTCCTCCTCATCGAAGGAGGGTGCCGAGAACCCCGCGTCGGCAGCCTCGGGCGCGTCCCAGGTGGACAGGGAGTCCGAGTCATTGACGCTTCCCTGGGAGGGCGGCGGGGGCCGGGGCCTTGGTTGCTCTGCCGGGGGCAGCGGCGTCGGTATGAACGGAGCGCTGTTCGTCTCATTCAGTCGGTCAGCGGGAGCAGGACTCGTCTGCTTTTTGTCGACCGGAAAACGAATATTCTGTCCAGTATTTTGTCGAGGACGAGTGTGCGTCGAGATACTCGTCGACAAAGCTTCCAGGGACAGTTCGTTGACCGAGTCGTCGTCCTCCTCGTAGGGCGGGCCAGGTCTGCTGGGGCGATAGGGATAGCCAGCGGGTCTGCCCGGACTGAACGAGCTGTCGGACGGACCGAACTTGGGCGGCACGCCGGCTGGCGTCTCCAGTCTATTGGGAAGGCCTTCGCCCTCGTCGTCGTCCCCGGCGGCGAGGATGTACACTGGTGCTTCGTAGGACGTCGGCGGTGACGAGTAATCGCGCAGGTTGTCGTCGTCGTCTGCAAGCGCCCCCGAATCACCATCCCCGGTCTCCAGCTGGAAGTCAGGGGCGGCGACGAACGTCGGGTGGAGGTCGCTGGCGGCCTGCGCGTCGTCCACCTCGAGCATGCGGTTGATGGCGTGCACGTCGACGCGCCGCATCGCCCTCCTGAGCAGGTGCGCGTTCCGCATCCAAGTGCCCCTCAGCCTGAAGCGCTGCACGTAGTGCGGCGACAGTCTCGGGGTGAAGGGTCTCGCCGGCTGCACGGACTCGGGGGTCGCCTCCTGGCGGACGGGCGGGGCCACGATCTGCTCCCGCGGGACGGACTCGGCGCCCTCCAACAGCCCCGGTGTGGCCGGGGGCCGGCGGGGTCGCTGCAGCAGGGGGAGCAGGGGCCGCCGCAGGGGCCGCGGGGGCAGACCCCCGGGCAGGCTCGGCCTGAAGTCGCTGGGTGGATCTAAGAAGCCAACTACAGAGACGTGCGGGATTACTGGCTGGCGTGGTGAGGGGTGGGGCAGTATATGCGTCTATTCACCATCTAATCAAATAACTAAGGGATCAAATTTAACAAATACGTACTACTTGTGCGTTTGCCTTTGTAGCCTACATAGGTTGATATTGTGTGCAACAAATAACTTTTGACAAGCGGACAAACCGGTAGAAGGTTACACAATTGCGGATAAAGGTTCAATCTACGTGTAAATGCCTCGAAATGCTTCTTTTTACCTCGATCTATAGGCAGTGGCTCGGTGGTAGTCTCAGGTATGGCTGTCGTAGTCCCAGGATCGTCGGCCACGAAGATGGCCGTGGTCGTCTCCTCACTCTGGGCTCTGGTGGGGTCCAGGAACACCACCAGCGCCAGCACCAGGGCCTGTCACATCACACCCTGCGTCACTATCTCACTCGCACCACGGGCACCGGTGCGCTCTCCCTCGCACTCACACTACTTGTTTCCAGCATGGCTGCCTGCTCGACGCCCACGCGATGTCGCTCTGCTGTCGAGTAAACGGCGCCCCGGGCCGCGGCCGCCTCTTATACTGAAAGTAAGAGTGCACGCAGGCGCAGGGGAGCGGAAGGAACGCGCAGGACCCACCCCACCCCGCCACGCCCTGCCCCGCCGCGCCCGCCACGCCCCGCGGCGCAGCGACACAAGCGACACTCATCAGAAAACAACGCACTACAATGCACCATGACCGCCACCCACGGTGCGTTTTGCTAGACGAGATTTTCAGACTGCGGTGAAAACATCTTCAAATTAAAAGCATCAAAATTTCTAAAATTTTCTTTGTAAAAATTATTTCTTTGTTAATACTTCTTTTGACAAGTCAATTCTAAATCGTAGGTGCACCACCAGATTTTTCCCCTCTCCAGAGGCGTGACATAACTCCCTCCATTTTCGGCAGGACCCGCCCGTGAGGGTGCAGCCCGAGCAATTTTCACCGCCACTGCTATGAAAACGCTTGTCTCGCGTTTTTGTCCTGTTCTGTCCAGCGGCGCGGCCCTTGCGGACCGCCGATCTTGTTTTCTTTTTTCGGCGAGGTATAGACGAAAAACGCACCACTGGCTCTCTGTCACACTGCAGCTGTTTGGTTTTCGCTCGAAATACAAACATCCGGGTTCGACCCAACACCTGCACCTATCCGGGGATGTTTTTGCTCGCGGCTGATTTTTTGTTTGTACCCTTTTCCTGTATACCTACCGTTACATCCTCCCTCATCGTCCTCTTAACGCGACCAACAATATGCGCGACAGCGATAAAAGTCCTAGCTGACATCCCACTGAAGGAGTCAGAACCATATTCCGCCAAATTTGACTCCTGAGAGCTGAAAGTGACTTGCGCTTACCCGTGCGATCCGGGTGCAGGAGCTGGTCAGCAACAGAAAAACGATCGTCACTCGAGCACGCCCACGGCCAGGGTGCCGCTGGCTGTGGGTACGTCCTGATTTCGAATGTCTTCGTCTCGTAGTTCTAAGTGAAGAGCTGCAAGAAATGGCTGCGAATCGATGGGAGCAAAGGAAGCTATTTCACGCTTGAGTAGCGCAGGCCGCGAAACAATTTGCTTTGATGTTTCGGATCAAGGTTCTTGGATAATACGTCGTCGTGTACGCTGCGGAAACAATTCAATTCGTTTTATTGGGAAGTGACATTTCAAATTGCATAATAAAATAAATAATTATAAATATCCTAATTCTCCTATTTTTGCCCTAAATTATTTACAATAACAGTCCTACTCTCCTCCCCTTCAACTTTGCGTAGCCGTTGAAGACTCTTGCGGGGATGTCGCCGTTGGCGCGGCAGGCACCGTCGACGTGCCCCCGGATACTCCACCGGGCAGCACTCCCGACGCGCCGATAGGCCCCACCGCGGCCACGACGCCCGGCCCCGGGGCCTGGGGGGCGACGTCGGACACGTCGAGGTTGAGAACAGCGGCCGCGTCGGGCGAGCCCGGGGCAGCGCCTGGCGTCGGCGATGACGGCGGAGTATCAGTGACTGGTGAACCACTTGTGTCTGGAGTTGCTGATGAGGCGGAGGTGGGTGCTTCTGAGGGCGAAGCTGAGGATGTCGTCGAGGGCTCCGCTGGGGGTGCAACAGAGGGCATCGCTACAGGTGCCTCTGGACGAGTATCTGGAGGTGGCGCGGGGGGAGCCACTGATGGCACCAATGAGGAAACATCTGAGGGTTGGGAAGGGGGTGCCCCTGACGTCGCCGATAAGGAAACGTCTGATGGTGCCACTGAGGAAATGTCTGAGGATAGCGTGGAGGGTGCAACTGATGACGCCAGTGAGGGAATGTCTGAAGGTGGCGTTGAGGGTGCCACTGACGGTGTCATTGAGGGAATGTTCGAAGCTGGCGTAGAGGGTGCCACTGAGGGGAAATCAAGGGTTGAGTTGGTGTCCGCGATGACTGCTGGTGTGGTTGGAGGCGCCTCTGCTGGGGGCGATGGCGGCGCGCTCGTTACAACTGGCCCGACCGGGGATGAGGGCGCCGCCCCCACGGAGGCCCCAGGGACCGCGGTATCACCGACGACGGTTGCGTATCCAGGGGCGGCCACCGACGGGGGGTCACCGGGGACGCTGCCCGGCGGACGGCCACAGGGGATGCACGTGGGCTTCCCCGGCACCTCCACTGTCGGCCAAGCGCCTCGGTCCAGCGCCCGCTGCATCTCCCAAAACCTGCGCACAGGAACGCTTTCACTCTGTGTGCAGCGCCAGGCGAGCGCCCCCAGGGCCTCCGGGCAAGCCTCACCTCCGGAGGTTTTCCTGCACGGCGGCATGCAGGCCCTGCGGCACGGGCGGCACGCCGATCGAGCCGTTCTGGCTCCAGGGCGCCCAGCTGATCGGGGGCGGCGTGACGGGCAGGGCCGCCGGCTGGACAGGGTAGGTGTACGGCGGGCACGGCGTCACCTGCGGCAGCGGCGGCATCGGGGGCAGCGTCGGCGGCACTGGCAGCCGCGGGGGCGTCAGCGACGGCGGCAGGGGCAGCGGCAGCGCCACCGGCAGCGGCAGGCCGCGCCGCCACCGCCACCGCCACACGGAGGGGCGGGCCTGGCGGACAGCGAAGAGGTCAGTCAGCTCGTCACACACACGGACAAGCATGAGGGACAAGGGACACAAGCACTATGAAGCAAATGTGACAACCCCTGGAGGACCTCGTCCGTCCCTCGTCGTCACGACCTTACCGCTGCCGTGGCCAGGGTCACGAGGAGAAGTGCGACGGGAATACCCGCCACGCGGCGTCGCATGATAACTTGTTGTCCGTCTGCTCCGCGCGGCCCGGAGAGTGAAGAGGGACAGCGGTCCGCACTGGCGCCTTAGGGCTTATTATAGGCTTCTGCCCGCCGCTCTCCGCTCTCCGTGAAGGACAGTTGGAGGCAGGCCACCGAGCCATCAGCGACGTCTCCGTGTACGTACCTACCGCGTCGACGCAGAGACACAGTGACAGGGCATTCCATCCTCTACATCATCGCCCCCGAATCCTTAGCCTAAAACGGACAATATCCTCGAGGGATACCTGATTGTTGACGTTTATTTGATTGACTCGATTTTGTCGTCTGAGTGTTTGCTGCCAGGAAAGGAACACGACTTTTCTTACGGTGAACACCACTTCAAATTTGGCGCGTTTGGCCGATGAGACGCCGAAGGGACACGAAAACGGCCCGAACAGCTCTTCGGCTTCTCTCCTGCCTGTCGTTCGCAGTACGCAGCACTTTCCTCTCTCTCCCGTCTTCCATTTCGAGGGGTTAACTGTTTTGTTTTTGCATCTTGCTTGGGGTTCTTGTTATTGTGATGTCGACGGATAAAGGAACTGTAGGGTTTTGTCTTTTCTTTCAATAATTAAAGTCAATTTTAGATTTGGAACGGCGTTAGACTTTTATGGGCGTCAAGAGGATAAGATTCGCCGTGATGATTCAGTATCCGATGGGTTATGAATGTTGATCAAAACGGTGTCGCAGGAAGTCTGTTTGATTTGTCAATAAGTAATTCACCCTCTCGTATAAAATGTGTGACAGCAATATTAAGTACCTTTTGGAGTTATCAAAACGTCCTGGAAACGACTCCTGTGCCGATTGCGGTAGCTTAAGTAAGTAGTAGTGAGCGACAGTTGGAGGAATGGGGGTCGTCACTTATGTCAACGAGTCCTTTGTCAACAGCGTAGCATTTCAATCAAAACTTTCCCCAGGATTCATTCGAATAATTTCGTCTTGTGTTTGACACTGGTTTCTTTACTTGGTCTTCAGCGCTGCATACCAGTTGATATTTTGATCCATAAGTTGGGTTAGGTTGTTTGCCAAGTGAAAATAAACAGTCAATCTATAGTTTAGAACATGTTCATTTTATTTTTTTGTTTGATGTGACCTATTACATTTTAAACTTTGATTTTTCTGCTGTAGATCCAGAATATGCATCATACAACATTGGCATCTTTGTGTGTGCACGATGTGCTGATATCCACCGATGTATGGGTTGCCACATATCCAAAGTGAAACACCTGACTGCAGATCGTTGGGAGGATAGCCAGGTCCAACGAATGAAAGATGTTGGTAACAGAGCTGCCAAAATGAAATATGAAGAACGAGTTCCTCAGTGTTATCGAATTCCTGATGAAAATGAAAATCAGTAAGATTCTAGCGTTTTTATAAGTACCTACCCTCAAAGTCTGTGTTTTCTCTTGCATGACCTTATATGTTTGTTTTTATAGAGTACTTCTAGAACAATGGATATTTTCTAAATATCATCGTGAAGAATTCATACATCCGGAGCGTCAGTCTTACATATCAGGATATATGGAAGGCTTTTTGATGAAAAGAGGCAAGGAATCTTCCTTGTATTTGCCAAGGAAATTTGTTTTAAGGGAGGTTGATGATACTCTTAAATACTACATTAAAGAGGTATGGGATCCACACAAATTATGTGCCCTTTATTTTTATCAGTTTTGTAAATTTCACTGTAATTGCAACAATTTTTTTTTACCCAGACTAAAGAACCCAAAGCAATTTTAAGAATATCAGAGCTCAATGTTGCCTTTGCCCCTAAAAAAATTGGTCAACCTAATTCATTACAAATAACTTTTTTGAAAGATGGGTCAACAAGACATATTTATGTGTATCATGATGATCCAGAAACGATTGTGAACTGGTATATGGCCATTCGGAGTGCAAAATTTAATCGGTTGCATGTTGCCTATCCGTCTGCAAACGAGTCTGAGGTATTTGAGCACTTTATCCTTCTGTGTATTTCATTCCATTTTCAGAAAGTAACATTTTTATTTTTATAATGTAGCTGGTGAAGAGACTTACTCATGATTTTGCCAGAGAGGGATGGTTGTGGAAAACTGGACCTCGAAGTAGTGATTGCTATAAGAAACGATGGTTTACCCTTGACAATAGGAAACTTATGTACCATGATGAGCCATTGGTAAGTTAAAATTTGCTTTCTTAAAGAAATTATCATTCACCGGTATGCTCTAAATATTTTCTAAGTTTGATCAATCTCTTCCTGGTTGTGTTTTAGGATGCATATCCAAAAGGTGAAATTTTTTTGGGACATATGATGGATGGATATGGTGTGCGAGTAGGAGTTTCTGCTAAGATAAAAGATCAAGGATATTCTTTTACTCTCCGAACTCCAGATAGGTCATTTCACCTATCTGCGGAAACTGAAGAGGATAGAGATGAATGGATTCAAGTTCTTGACCAAGTTCTTGAAAAACCTCTGACTCCACAGGATAATGCCAGTAAGTTTCCTGGCAGTTCTAAAAGATTGATGTTTTGTACAATATTTTCATTTGCCGTATTTCTTTCAAATTTTAACACTGCTTCCTTTGTTTCAGTTGCAGTGCGCTTGGTTCGGAAAAGAAATGCTAACAGTAGTATTAATATCTTTTCTGCAAGATAGATGTGCTGTATTGCTTTAATCATGAGAGAAGTGCCCTTCCTCATGCTTTAATGTAATCTTTAACCAAATTTATTTCTACATGATTAGTTGTCAGATTCTGTGGTATAGAAGAGAGAATTCTGTTGACAGTTTCCTCTGCATTGCTTTCCTCTCCCTTAATTGATATCAGTATTTTAATTATGTTAGTACCCCTATTCTAACCCTTTAGATATATATTTTGACTGCTTTTTTAACATGAATATTTATACAAGCTGATCAATATAAGGGCAATTTCATGATCATGAAAGTCTTCTATGACTTAACCATTTTCATTTAGTTGTTGCACTGGTAACTTTTCAGGGAGAGGGAAGCAATATTTTTAAAGGTTGTGCAATGTCTAGAGTAAGGCTTCTTGATCAAACTTACTAATCAACTGTAGTTTTCTGTTTATTCTAGGTACTGTTCTTCTGTGGAATCAGTTTTGAGTTTTTGTTAATCGTTGTATTGTGATACCTCTTTTTAGTAATAATCTAATCTGTGCACAGAGAGAGCAGCATATTTGTTTATAAACAATTTTATTGCTAAGTTTGATCTAGAAAAATGTAGTAGTTGTAGCTGGAATATTTGCCACTGATTACTACTGTTTGCATTCTTTAACTTTGCAGACATGTGGATTAAACTCACATATACATAGATACATTTATCTGTATCTACTTGCTTTTGAAGGCATGACTAATTCAGTTTTAAGATTTAGCAACTCAACTCTGGTTTGATTTCTACATACTTTTTTCACAGGAAGTTCTCTATCAAATAATACACCCTTAATATTGTAATGCTTCTGATGCCCTTTTATGTGTATTTTGAAAGTTAACTGTCATAGTTTTTATAACCGGTAATTTGAGTTGTATTTCATTATTTTCCAGTCCTAAGGTTGAATCTAGGGTTACAATTTTTTTTTGAGCCGTTAATATTTTGATGTTCATTGAATTTTTTTTAGTTGAAGTTGTTAATATTAATTGTTGCTAACCATGTATGTTTTGAGGAGAGTGTATTTCATTGTGTGTATGTCATTGGTTTCATTTCACTCTCATTTAATGTGTGTTATTCCTGCCGGCAGGTGAACTATCTGCTCTTTGTAGCAGCGCTCTGTATTTAATGAAATGGATTCTCTTGACTTTCTTCAAAATTAACTAGCCAGAAACATATTTCTATTTGAAATAGCCCCCTATTAGATGCATGCTCTATTATAACTATTATAATAGTCGTGTTCTGGAATAGTTAAGATTGATACTTTTACTGATATTGCTACTGAATCTTTAAGTAGAAATTTTTTATCTAAAGAAATTTTTCCACTGGTGATTTGTTGACTGTGCAATTGTATTGGTAATCACACATGATCTATATGATTATGTGTGGCTTACCCAACGTTTATTGCATTGTTTTAAATGTCAATGAGCTGTTCATATTGATTGCCATTCCAGCTTGCCCACCAGATGTTGAACATTCTGTTCTGCCCTATCTTGCCTTCAAAGGCTAGGCATGCTTGTTTCTGGTTTGACCCTACACTGATAAGGGAAAAATACTGTGTTAGAACATACTGAATTGTGCCTTTTGTAATATTGTATGTTTCTTTAGATCTTTTTAATTTATGTCAATCAAGAATATATGAATGAATTTACATCATCACACAAGTGAGGACCAGTTTATTGCGCTCCCTGCAACGGTAGAGTAAGTAGAACTCCGATATCACAACAAAAATGGTTTTCCCTCGTCTTCTGTCGGGAACACGCTGCTCGAGAGTGGCCGAGGGGAGGGCGGAGACGCTCATCATTGCTGGAGCTCGGGTCGGGGCGCCACGACGCTGCTGCGCGGCGGCGCGGCGCTTGTGTGCGTTCTGAATGGAATACCATTTGCATACTGCTTTACTTGACCCGGGCGGGGCACCCGCAGCTGCCGACGCTGCTGCTCTGCGTGGCTCTATTCGAGGCTCTAGCAGCGCTCTCCCGCACACACCTCTCCGCGCCAAATTTGAATGAAGTAACGCGCGAAAGAATAAGCCGCGCGCCCGTGTGTGTAAATACGTCGCGTGTGTGCTTACGTGCGGGCACGTGTATGCGGGCGGGCGCGTGGTGTGTGTATGTACACTCATGAATGCTCGCGGGATGCAGTGCGACGCGCCCCTGCTCATCAAGGCCCCCCTGCCAGCCTGCACCCCGTTCGCTCTGCCGCGCCCGGGGCCTTTCTGGGACACGACTGCAACATCTGGTGGTACCAGCCCCGGCTGCGCCTCCTCCTTCCCCCCTTTCCCCTTGTCGCCTCATCCCCATTTACTGTCCAGTCCAGATCCCCATTTTCTCTCTCTCTCCCTCCTCCGTCCCCTGAGGACTTAGGTTCCAGCGCGCGCGTGCCCTCCGTCCCCTTGCCAATCTCCTCCCCCGGGCACCGCGCCCCCACCCCTCTTTGCAAATCAAGGGTGATTTAAAAGGGCTCGTAATCTCGTCCCCACGGAGATTAGCTCGGATGGGACGGGCCAAGGGGCGGATTGGTGCGAGGGGACACGGGGAGGGCAGAGGACGGCGCTCTGTACCGTGGCACCGGGCTCGTCGGGCTCGGGTCTGTACCCCTTCCTCCTCCTCCTTGGCGACCAGATCGAAGCGACACAATTGCGCCCTCATCAGGGCCGTTCGAGTGGACAGGGCGGG